TATTTATTAATTTGATAGATAAGTCACCATCAAATCAATGGATAGCAGTGGCCTATGTATGCTTGGATCTATGCGTTAGACCTTCATTTGTTAAGTGTTGGTCTGATAGAGGGCTACATATTTACATATTTATTAATTTGATGGATAAGTCACCATCAAATCAATGGATAGCATTGGTATATGTATGCTTGTATCTATCCTTTTGACCTACATTTGTTAATTGTGGCCTGATAGAGGCCTACTTTTTGTAATTTTCAATTGCAGATTTATGTTTAAGTGTTGTTTTGTAGTTAAAGGTTGCATTGTTGTAACTGCTGTGGCGACTTATTTCTTTTATTTGCCAGAAGAAGCTGCATCCGCAGAGGTGGGAGCTGCGACCATCGCCCCAGTGACTGCTGCTTCAGCTCTTCGTGCCGCTGCAACCTGTGGGGCACCAACTGCAGATGCCAGAGGATGGGGCTGTTCCAGAAGTGGGGCTAATGATGTCTTCCATCGCCTCATAATTCTTCTTCCCCCTTCCTCCTACCCCCTTGAGAGATCGTCATCGACTCCTCGCCACCCCTGTCACTGTGTAACAACCTTGGCTTAATGATTAAAATGTTTCCCTTTCAACGCTATTTTCCAAAAGGCTGTCTCTTTTTAAAAAAAAAAAGACTGGGATCTTATTTTCTATATGTATACTACTCACTCTTTTCTTTCCCTCTTTCTAATATCGCAGAAACAACAACAAACTTCTGACCTTTTTCTTGGTGTTATTGTTATGAAGTCATCTGTAGTTATGTCGGTTTAAGAAAAAAAAGGCTGTTTATTTCTTTTAATATTTCAATAAAACTTAGCAATTTGATGACATTTTGAATTATTAGTTTTTTTTGTCCACAAAATATCTCTTTCCAAGATCAAGTATTAATATTTTTAAAAAAAAAGTGGTGCATGTTTAAGATATATATTTTTTTTAAAATATCAAAAACATTGTGTATTTAAAAATAGTTATAAAAAAATATATTATTTTAGAAAAAATAAGTTTATAGGATTTAAAATAGTTCATTCAATATGTGGAATATTTATAATACAATTTAATGGTAGGTTAAGATGGACTGAAGTTTCCACAATATTTTATTGCAAAAAATAAAATCTGAAATTCCAGATTAATTGCATACTTTTATAAATATTGATATTTTCAACAACAACAACAAAAAAATGTTTAATAAAAATATTTATTTTATATATACTTCATTTCATATTAGTACAATTAGGTTATAAAGATATAAAGTGATATAAATTATTGTCAAATATATAAAATAATCGATTTAATTACCATAATATTCTTTAAAATGATGCTAATTAGAAAACATAATTTCAACATTTGCAATACATTATACAAGTGAATGAAAAATAATTATTAACGTTTTTCTTAAGAGTCAAAAATAAGAATATACCCATTTTATTTCAAGAGTAATAAATGGGTATATTCCTTTAAAATGAGGAAGAAAAGTATATAATTGGTATAATAATCTTTAAAATACTGCAAATTAGAAAATATTAGTTCAACATTTGTAACACATGATATAAGTGTATGAAAAAATAAGATTCTTACTAAAATTTTTCTTAAGAGTCAAAAAATATAATAAATGGCTATATTCTTTGAAAATGATAAAGAAAAGAATAATATAAATAAATTAACTAATTAATATGATGGCTACACTAAAAGTAAATAAATATGGATGTGCAATTAGCTGTACATTTAAAGCTAAATGCATCAGACAAAACCTGATAAAACTGAAGACTAAAGATCCACTTTACAAAAAGTGATATACATAACAAAATTACACAACAAATAAACAAGAAATATATAATACAATAAAAATATATGTATATAATAATTACACAATATACGAACCAAAGCGTATATTTATATGTATATATGTGTATATAATGAACATCAAAATATTTTTTCGTCACTTTTGGCTGTCATTAAAAGTCCTTATTACAGAAGGGCTAAATGTTGAATTTTTAAAAAATAAGAAAGTATAAACATGAACAACACTTTTTCCAATTGAGCCAAATACATTTGTTGCTTGAGACTTGCTGGAACTTTCTGTTTTATTCATTTGGTGATCATGATGACCGTGATGGTCATGATGATCATGACCATGGTGATCAGGATGGTGATCTGCGCTTCGTGCTACTCTAGTATGATGTACTATTCCTCCTTGGTTGAGTAGCGACAGAACCTGCTGTAAAGAATGGAAGTTGTTACCATTATTTTCGACAACAACAGGTACTAAAGGTATTTTTCTTGAGTTGAATTGCGAAGATCCATTGGATGGATGGGCATGTCGAGCAACATGTTGAGAAGCAGACTGAATGTATTGGTTTCCACCTTTTACCCGTTGGGATTGTCTAGGACCATCCATTGAGTAACCATTTTCTTGTTTGGGTGATACCACAAAAAAAAGGGGCACTAGTTTTTTTGTTCAGTATTGACACCAGAGAATGTACGTCCTGGTGAAGCTTGCCTGTGACTGATACCTGTCATTATTAATTACTACGGATATAACCTTATTTTGAGTGTTCTGTGGTCTTTGGGATGGGTACCTTTGTTGAATATTATCGGTGTTTGGCCTTTGAGATGGGTGTCTTTGTTGAATATTATCGGTGTTTGGCCTTTGGGATGGGTGTCTTTGTTGAATATTATCGGTGTTTGGCCTTTGTTGCGAGTTCAAGATGGCCAACTGTTGTCTTAGAGTGCTGGCGGTTGGTGTTGGAGCTACCTGGCTTTTAGATGGATCATTCCACCACTGTAGTGTGTTCTTCATTTCAGTAAATTGGGGTCGATGTTGTTGGGGAGCATAGTGATTTCTGGGCGAGTGACTAACAGCTCTATTATGATGATAGTTTCCCCTTTGTCTGAAGGAAGGCACAACATCTTTAAGCTGGAAGGTTTCCATAGTTACCACCTTAACTGGACGTGGAGTGCTGTACTTGGAAAGAGTCTTTGGATGTTGTGTTGTAATAAAATACGTCTTCTTCTCTTGAGATGATGTGGGCATTTTGAAGAATACAGTGCTCTTCTCTGATTCAGTGGTAGGGATATATGTCTGAGGGGTGTAGTGGCGTTCATTTTGCAGTTCCGTAGTTTCAGAGGAATCTTCTAAGATTAGTGGAATGCCATCGTTTCTTGGGTATTGGTATTCCTCCTCATCTTCGGAGAAAAGTTTCTTCTTTTCTCCACCACGTTTATAGTCGCTGGCTAGAGAGTTGTAAGTGACATTCTTCACATGTTGTATACTGGCTTCATGGCGCAGTCCATCACAGGAGTCAACAACATGGATCCTCCACCCCAAGTGACGATGGGTGTAACACTGTAAATAAAAGCAATACGACATTGTTATTAAAAATATTGTTAAATATATCTGTAATAAACTATGAAAATGATCACATCATTTAACACAAAGAACAATAAATAAAAGAGGAATGCAATGCTTTTAATGAATACAGAAGCTTTCAATTTAATTTAAGAATTTTTAATTTTTATTATTTTAAAAATAAAATTGTATTGTGTACCAAAATAAAACTCTTCTGAAAAGTTAAAATGAGAATAAACATCAGTAAAATCATAGAAATCAAAATTTCAATCGCAAAAAAATATTTTTGGTTTTGATGGAGAAAACTAGTGAATCTATTTAATTTTGGGTACATAAAAAGAATGAACCTTTCTTAAAAATATAAACAGTACTATAAATTAAACAAAGTTAATAAAATTACTTATAAAACAAATTATTTAGATACTTTATAAAACAATTTTTATTTCTGATAACATACACAATTATGGTTCAAATTTAACCATTTTTTACTAATTTCAATTTGTGATCTAATAATTATATATACTTTGGAATGAATCATGAATTATAATACATATTTAAATGAATCGACATCAAATTAATGATTTTGGAATCTACAATACATTACAATTGTATGAAAAAAAATTCTGTTTTATATAAATGCACGTGCACAGTCTGTATACATGTGTGTATGCAATTTACATGTATACTTTCTGTATATATGTAAATTATAAATTTTTTCGTATACATATTAATTTTTCATATATATACATTAATTTTCATATATATATATACATTAATTTTTATATATATACATTTTTTTCATATATATACATTAATTTTTCATATACAGAACATTATTTTTTTCATAAAGTACATACATTAATTTTTTATATACATACATTAACAAAATTATTTCATGCCTGTGAGAGAGAGTTATGACTGAAAGTGTTTATGCTTGTTGGTAAAAAAATGCCTTTTTTTAATGAACACATTAATATAGCACATTTATAAACATGAAATAAAAACAATTAAAATATTTATACGAAGTTCATTCATACTATGGCAAGAAATGCATATTTACTTGATAATAAAGTAGGTCTGGGGTGTTTTTATCGGGTTTGAAAGTGAATCTTGCTGGTTTTCCCCTTTCGCACTTGAGTTCCAAATTCTGCTGGAATTCGTCGAACGTTTCGAAATCACTGGATTTCATATCTTGGGGGAGTTTCCATTCGCACAGCCGTCCCTCTGTCAACACAGTTCACAACATTAAAAAGCAGAAAATTTGAGTAACAGAGAGAAGTGTCAAAAAAGCAAACATTATTAATCGATGAAAGATCTAACAATTTAAGTGTCTAAAACATTAAGGATTGAACACATTTTCAGAATTTATTTTTGTATGTTTTTGCTGTTGTTGTTTCTTATCCCCTTGGCGGCCAATCCCACGAGCCCATGCGTACTCATGATTGAAGGGGAAGGAAGCAGCTTCTGTTGTGATGGAGCACCCGTAGGTAGAAGTCTGACTTTGGCTCCGTGACGCTCTTACAGTCATAGGAGACCGGGACCATCCATGGCACCGCCGGGATTCGAACCCGAAACCTGTGGCACCGAGCGCCAGACACTCGGCCATTCAGGTCCCAAATTTGTGAATGCCAAAGGCATGCGGTGTTCCCAGGTGGTCACCCACCCAAGTGCTGACCGCGCCCAATGATGCTTGCCTTCGGGATCAAACGAGAACCGGTCGGTATATTCAGCATGGTATGGCTTTTGTATTAAGGGTACTATTTAAAGTAAAAGGTGGTAATGATTAAAATAAAAATTTAAAATTATGATAGTCAATAATCAAATATTATGATTTAGTCATCTGTAAAAAATTTTCAACCATGTTTACATGTATAAGGGAAAAAATAAATTTGAATTTTGTCTGCACTGTTCAAGGAGAAGAACAAGCTTAGTTTCAATAGTAAAATAAAAATGCAAAATATATAAAATATTTTGCACACAGTTATATCATCTTTTATAATTATTTTAATGGGAAAACACTCCTGTACTACATTTTCGTTATTGGAACAGACTTGATTTTAGAATTGATTTTAATTTACTTCAATTTCATTCAAGTCAATTAATATAATTTAAGCCTTAAAATACTTCTACTATAATCATAGTCAACCTTTATCAGAATAAATTTTTTAAAAAATATTACAGGAAATTATTTAATACAATAATTTCAAATTTTAATTTTAAAAGTTTATTTCATGATTTTTAAAATGCAAACTGCACTTTATTTGCATTGTCATCTTTTAATTTATGGATCTCAGAATAGAAGATTCAATGATGGATATTAAGCAAAGTATGATAGACTATTAATCAACTTATGATGGATTATTAAGCAAAGTATGATAGATTATTAATCAAAGTATGATAGACTAAGTATGATAGATTATTAAACAAAGTATGATAGAATATACAGCAATATGTGATATATTGGCACAAATAATAAGAACAATATAGCAAATGAAACTTGGTTTATTTATTTACTTGGTATGTGTTCAACTTTAAGGTTGTTTGTATGATGGCCTTTAAAACCCCTTAAATTTTAATTTTTAATCTAAATTGTAGTCATATACAAATTCGCTGAGAGTATGATTAATTTTTTTAATTAAAAAGGATTGAACATAAATAAAAAGGTTCTGAATGAAACTCCTAGCATTAACACATTTTAAATTTTTAATATTAATATATTATTTTAAAAAGTGAAGAAAATAATACAATATATAGAATAGTAAAAGAATATTTGATTAAATTTATAACATCTATAAAATTGACCTTTTACAATTAATTAACTATTTTAAAATAAGAAGCATATAAAGATTTCCTTTGAAATATAATTAAAATGATATCTTACTTCCTGTGGGTGTATATCTTCCCCTTCTATCAGCAGAAGCTCCTGCAAAGATCTTCACTTGCTGAAACAAAAGAAGACAAAAATAAAGATAAGAAATGTGAAATAAGCAATTTTTTATTTTGACACTATTATTCCAGTAAAATGTGTAATTATACATCAGAAATATAATTTTCGATTTGGAAAATGCTTGCATTCATTCTGTTCAAACATAAAATCAGACATTCACCAAATTAGCCCCATTTCGTCATTTAATTGGCAATAATGTAATGTTTAGTGCCATATTTAATTGGTATTTCAAAGAATTCAAAACATTTTTCGTTACAGATTCATCATCAATAAAAATTTTTGATAGTAAAGCAATTATTAATAATCCAAAATTAAGCATCTATTTGATGATTGCCGATCTCCTAAATAGGATTGATTCAAGTGTTATAACTCTTGACATACTGGCATAGTGTGAAGTGCATTCAACTAACTTGAAGAAATAACAAGAGAATAATAAATTAAAACAAATTATCATAATAAATAATAATAGTAATATTAAAATATTAAGCAAAATCACTATTTATTCAATAAACATGTCCTCCCCAAACTGCATTTTTTCTTTGGGATGACACAAATGCATATCATACCTTCTTTTCTGCTGCTGTCTTGTGCTCGTATCCACCTTCTGGGTCATCTGTGATGTAAAGGGGTGGGTCCTTGCAGGGTTCTCAGGGTCGTTGCCACCCTCGACGACAAATGTGTAAGTCTGCCCTCTTTCCAATGTCAGCTCGGGAACCAGCAGCCCATTTATGTACCAGGCAATACCCCAACCAACCACTCCTGATGTAGAAAACAAGCAATATAAAAAATAATAAAATAAAGTCAATTCCTACTTTTTTCACTCTAGTCCTTTATAAATAATTTTCATTCATTTTTTTTAAGTTTATCTGGCGCCATCTATTGGTAGATACATTCAACTTAAATCTAACAAAAACTAAAATTGATGAATTAAATTTAATTACTGAATTAATATTTGAAAAAACTGTATTAACATCAAGTTTCATCCACTACAAGTTAAAAAAAATGTATTTGAACTTGAGTGGATGAATAAAAAATATTTTATTAACGATTGAACAAGATATATATAGGAGATATTTGAACAAGATATATATAGGGAGAGTGTGAGCTAATAGAAGGAATTGAATAAGCACGAATACAATGAATTACGAATCAATTTGTAATTTAAATCGTCTGCTTTATTTACATTATGAATCAATTTGCAATTTAAATCGTCTGCTTTATTTACATTATGAATCAATTTGCTATTTATAAATTTAATTTGTACATACAGATTTTTATTAACTGACAAAAAAAAAAAAATGGTACGATTGAGGCTATCTTTAAAAAGCATTGGTTATGGGGGTTTAATGATAAAAATTAAATGGCATACATTAATATTGTGATTAAATTAAAATTATTAAATAAACTTAACATTTAAAATAAATTAAGAACAAAAACCTCATTTATTTAGTTATTCTTTTTTTTTAGTCAATAAATTTTATAAGAATTTTCTAAAATGCATGATCAGAATTATAAAAAATTCTGTCAATTCTGCCAAACTTGAGGAATAATTTCTTAACAACTATCAATAGAAAAAAAGAAAGTAAGAATAAAAAAAAAAAAAAGGAATGCAAGAAATACAAATTCCTGTTAAATTTCTTTTGTTCTCATATTTTATTTCATATTCCCATATTTTATTTTTCATCATAATAAACCCCTTATAAATATTCTGTTAAAGTGGGGAATAATTTTGTCAACAACCATTGATAAAAATAAAAAGCAATTTTAAGAAAAGCATGTCTTTGGTACATCATACTTTCATGTTTGCATATAACAGAATAAACCATTTTGTCACGAATTTAGTATTAAATCTTATAATGTTTATCAGGCAAGCTCAACACAAAATATTCATTATAATATGCAAAGCAAAAATATTCCTAGGCAACACGGCATAAGATACATATTTTCCCTTCATTCAGTAAAGTAAATTTTGTTGATTTAGTTGATGGGCCTATTTTTCAAAGCCTATCAGTTGACAGCATAATATGTTATGAAGTACCAAAACAATTATGAAGACTGGCTACATGAAACAATGGATATAAGGAAATACGTTACCTGTGATAGCTTGAAATCCATCCTTGCCTCCAGCAGGTCCAATCTGGGCCCTAAATGTCTTGTCACTGGGGCATATGACAGGTGGAACATTCCAAGACGCATCCACTTTGGATTCGCTAATTCGAACGTCCGAAGCCCTGCTGGCATATCGTGGTCCTATAGGCTGAGGTTTCCTTTTGTGCACAGGGGTAGTAGGCTTTCGTTTGGTGGGTTTCCTCACTGGAGCTGGGGTGGTTGTTGTCGTTGGTGGGACTGGCACGAATTGAGGTTCTGGTTCATAGTCAGCAGGTTGGGGACAGTTCCACTGGGGAGAACGTGCGAAATCCATGAACACATCCCCTACAGACATAACAACATATTGTATATTTTCGGCACTCAACTCGAACAAATACTCTTCGTATAAGTAAAGAATGTAGTATACAAACAGTTATACGTCTGAAATTACAAACACTTGCTTGTTTAAAGTGAAGCTAAAAAACAGTATGAAAATGATTCTCATATGATATTTTATATGATAACAATTTAATTCCGAGAATGTATATTTTAATTATCAATGTTTTAGGATCAATATATATATTTTTTAGTGATTATTATTTTTGCATAAGGAAAATCAGAAAATCATTATTTTATAATATTACTCTGCAACGCAGTATACAATTGGAATAATAATGAAATTGGAAAACCTCCACTCAAATAAAAGAAACAAACACGTTTAAGTAGCTAATAATACTTCATTTAATAATAAATATTGCAGTTAATTTAAAAACAATAAATTTCAGATTTGCAACAAATATTTTTATTAAGGTCACCAAATGCTTTAGAAAAATTCTTCTTTATTACTTATGAAAATTTATTAAAAGAATCAAGTATGGGAATTCAAACTTTTTGCTATGTTCAATCTTTCATGCTAATAAAAAGACCACATGTTAACCTTCTGATCTCATGACTCCATGGTAGGAAACTTCATTCTTGTCATTGAGAGGTCCGATGGCCCAAACGATGGCCTGAGGGCCATCAGAATACACATGCTGGTCATATCTCTGGTCCACTGGAAAGAAAGATTACAAAAACATTTAAATAGAGTATGTTTTTTTGAATTTAAATAAGTACTAATATTACTTGTGAATATTGTAAATTTACGTCTTTCCAATATAGTCCAAAGGGTTATTTAAATTTTTGTTTGCTTTTGGAATTTCAGCAAATTGAAATTATAATTCTAAAGGAAAAATCTATTAATATTTTATTATTGCTTAAAACTTATTTGAAACATTCATAAAATGTACAGATGAATTGCTTACGAAATTAGAGATATTATCATTTGCTAAGTTTATTTTACCAACGTTCTTTCACCTAAATCCTTTGAAACAAGAACAACTCAAACATGTCACAAGGAAGCATTATATTAATTGTAGGTATTTTCTTATAGTAATTACATGTACTAATAAATTTAACTTTTCCCAACAAATGTAGACAATATTACTAATAACTAATAAAATTAAAATATTTAATTACATATATATTTACGATTTTATTGTAACGTAATTTAATATTCATTGATTCATAAAGAACTTAATAAAATTTGAAATATCAGAAATCAAATTTTTTAATTTAAGAAGAAATTGAAGAATTAGTCATTACCATATACTGAAGACGTTATTTTTTCTTGTGGACTCTCCTTTTCAACGACTCGTTCATGTTCT